CAAAGAAATCATACACTTTCAATCAAGGATTTCACATTAGCTGAGTAGCGCATCTTGTGAGTCATTGGCATACCAAGGACGTGCAGTGTGTGCTAGCACTGTCACCTGTACCGCTGTGCCCCCCTCCTTTCAAAGTGTCGATTTGTGCAGAGAACAACATGATCGTTTCTTAAACAACTTTTTACTGTTGTGTGAATAACACATCTAACAACATATCCTGTTGGGTAAAGGGTATTCATCATCATGTGCCATTTTGAAAATTTTAACCATAAATTGTATATTCATATACTTATCCTATCTCACGTATTGTACTCTCTCTCTTTAATTTGACGAATGAGTGGAAACGAAAAAACCTGTGAACTTATCTCGGCCTCCGGTCCAAGCACCGGCCCTCCATGTTGTCCTCCTTCCTGGACATCTCTCGCGATAGGCATGTGTCACGCTCCACTACCTAGTCACATGACCATTCCTTAGTGATTATTCTCCCTCTTGTCGCCGATCAGTGCAGACGCTAATTTGTGAACTAAAATTTTTCCAAACAAGAATATTGGAAAGAAAGAAACATCTTCCTCTAGAAAGAGGAAACTTTGTGATGAATGTAAAACTATATATCTTTTCTGTTGCTGATCCCTATACATCATGTGTGGGTTTTTGCTCCTGGGATAATCGTTGTTCCTATTGTAAACCTTTGACTGAGGAAACTTTCACTGAATATAAGACAGTTGGTTCCCGCCAGCGGACACTGACAATCGACTAGCCATCATTCATCGAGAGATCGATCGCTATCATCAGGCAGGAGTTCTCACCGTTCCTCATCATCGAGGTCGCATTCAAAGGGTTTTTCATCTATGGAGGATTGTTGAATGTCTCCTATTTGTTCAGATTCGAGCCATCACCATTCGTCGGATTCATATCATTTGGACTCACGCCATGCGAACGCTCATGTGACGAACAGCCAACGATCTTCCCGTACAGTTTCAAGAGCACCTCAGATTGCGGGTTTAAATCCTGACAGGGATTCGGCGAATATTGTACCTTAGCCTAGGAATATGGTAGTCATAGTGAGATACCACTTCAGCAACATACTTTGCCTACGTCATCGGTAACTACGGGGAATGTCATCTCCAATCAACAACCTAATTTTGAGTTGATGTTGCGAGCATTCACTACTGCGTTGTTGACTTACAGCAGCCGGCGACTACGGTACCTCTTGTACCTACGATGCCTATCCAGATACCAGTACCTACAGCTGCTGTACCGACTATTACTCCAAAACGTCGACGTGAGATGAAATATCTGGATCCGATGGGAGCTTTGATATCACCGAACCAGAGGTGAGGTGAAATTGGGTTTAACGTCGTACCTGAGAATATTTCGCTCATATGACGACCTGCATGCGTGTGTATACGTGTATGTGCGGCTGCTTGTACTAGCCCAGACTGAAGCTGGTTTTATAGTGCTAGCCCACTGAGATACCATGCTGCAGTGAAGCATGAATACCCCACTCAGACACATTATGCTGACTCCGAGCCGAGCAGTCCTTGTTGTACCCATTAATGCCGAGCGCCAGGCAGGGACCAACAAGTACCCTATTTTAACGTCTTTTGGTATGACGCGGTCGGGGATCGAACCCACAACCTTCCGCTCTCTGGGCGGACGCTCTAACCACTACACCACGGAGGCGGTCTCATGGATTGTGGAAAAATTAAAATCACCAAGAAGCATTTCAGCAGAAGATGGTATTTCATCTTATTGCATGAAGGGACAGGGTATGTCATCCATTACTTTACCACCAAGAGACATCACTCGCATGACAGGATCATTAGATTTGGCCTTCAAGAATCGTATAGCTCCTTCTGCTCGAACTTTACCCAGTGCAAACATCCAGTACATGGAGCTCTGATATACAAGCGGCGGTTGCCAAGGCAACCATGAAGAAGGTCTTGATTGATATGCGTTCAAAGTCTTTATCTTGTAAAGGCTCATACTCTTCTGAGACCAGATGACGTAAAACAACAGATAGATCGCATGCTGGAGGTCGGAACTTCCAAGATTGGTCAGCAAGTCTATAAGAACTCTCTTTGGTCTCATGTTGATACCGATACCTGTCGCTACCACGAATGGTTATGAGGTCTATCTTGCAACCCAAGGAAATGCATCTCCACACCCTATTTGACCCTTCCTTAATGGAAACCGTCTCCTGGATATTGCGGAGAACCATAGACAGGAGAACCTTAGTCTCCAGACACATATGCAATAAGAAACGACTCTCATCAGAAAAGTGAACCCTCCTCCATGATGCAATGTTCCAATGAATTTGTTGATTAAACCAGGTAAGTCGTGCTGCTTTGTGAGCTGGAGACATTTTATATGGTTGATGGGTCTTCTGGCCCTTGTATCCTGCTGCTTTCAGACAATTCCTGATGGTCCTGCAGGAAATGGCTCTCCTAGACTAACAACTAGTCTCTGAAATAAACATATTTTACTGAAAAAAAGTTCATAGTAAAAATATATAAAATATAATGAAAAGGAGCCCTGAGACTTTCTTCATTTTCAGAGACTAAACAAATCTGCAGAGGGATAATTTCTTGGAATTTCACAACACATGCAAAGATTCTTATCACCCACTACTGCTTTAATTTTGTGTGACAGGAATATTTACTGCCCCCACTGCCTCCCAGTCCTACTGCCAGTGGTGTGGGCCGGATTTGAGGTAATGAGTATCAAGTGTCGCCAAATCTGTTTTGAGAGCAAGCAGGGATACCAGTTAAGGGTAGCATCTCTTGATATTCCTATGGCTGGACAACTGGATCGCACCCAAAAAAAATCCAAAGTTATTTAAATTCTCCAAAATCCAAAGGTTGTGTCTGCACTATATGTGGAAGTTTAATTGATGTCGCATATATATAATGTAACAAGCAGAAAAAGTCATCAATATCCCCCGCAATTGCAAAATACTCGTCATGTATATGTCAGTTAGTTATGACTATGTCGAATGTTTTGGTGTGTATATAGCAGTGAGTGAGTGAGTTTAGTTTTATGCCACACTCAGCAATATTCCAGCTGTCTGTAAATAATAGAATCTGGATCAGAAAATCCAGTGATCAACAGTATGAGCATCAATCTACACAAATGGGATGCAATGATATGTGTCAACAAAGTCTGTGACTATATTACAAAGTGGATGGAGAGTATTGAAAGGTTTTTAAGTTCTGCTCCGGAAAAGAGCACTACCACCAATTTCAGTCAAAGTCAAACTTGTTGCCATGGAAACACAAACTATGTTTTATTCAGAAATCTAAAACTACCAAAAGGCACCAGTATATCACCAGACCTATCTATGTGCCATGGTTGGTGAAGAAATATTCAACAGTTTTAAAGTTCTGTTCTGGACAAGATGACATCCTCATAGCCACAGCCTCCATGGAAAGTTACGTTTCCATGGAAACCGGAAAAATAAAATTCATATCTGGGTCTAAACCCCCGAAAGGCACATCTATGGATCATACTTGACATATGTTCCAAGTTTGATGAAGCTTGCATGTATAATTTAGGAGATTTGCTTCGAACAAGATGACATTCTCATAGTCACAGCCTAAGTCATGTTTCCATGGAAACAACAAATAAGATTCATATCTGGGTCTAACCCCCAAAAGGCACATTTAGGGATCATGCTTGACATTTGTACCAAGCTATCACAAATAGTTGAGGAGATATGCTTCGGACAAAGCGTGACGGACGGACGGAAGTCGTTTCTATATTCCCCGCAACTTCGTTGTTGCGGGGGATGACAATATGCCGTCAGCTCCCCCGTGTCAATGTCTTTTCAAAGTTTACGGATAAAGTCAAAAATGCCTACATCGTTGAGGTACACTGCTTTGAGCCTAATGATTTATATTTCTCTGTTTGTCTCTTCATCATGCAAATCAAGGATGACATAACAATAACAGTAGCATGGCTTGTATTTTCTACTGACTTGTCTGAATAGGGAGAATTTCGAATGTCAGTGATTTTCCACTCCTGGATGGAGAACAAAACAACACATCTTCACCACTTAAGTACTTTTCAATCATTGTATTCTGATTTGGACGAATGCTATGTATATTTGCTTTCATCCTCATCAAAGTTCCAATTCATGTTTACCCTGAGATGGAAAACTTTTCGAAATGATCCCCTCTCCTCGCCAGTGTAAAATAAAACAGTTAAGGCAAATACTCAGATTTTATAAGTCATCAGGTCTTTCGTGTAATCACACACGTTGTTTGTCTGGAGTGAGAGGACAGGCAGAAGCAGGAGGTCTTGGCTCAGCGTGGGGTCTTGGGGAGTGGTTGGTGAGGCTCCCCAAGAGTTAATATTAAACACTAGTGACAGCTAGAGATTAACTGATAATTACAAGCCATATTCTGGCTTGTGAATTCAGCAGATTGGTACAGACCCTGAAGCTGAGGAAATCTAGACTTGCCACATTTTCTAGACTTGTGTGGGCTTTCTTTGATATATTTGCTTCAGGGTCTGTACGACAGACTATGGCTCTCCCTGCAGTGTTTGCCATGATGCAGAAAATCTGCATATTTGACGCACCAAATTATTTCAAATACGCAGTGAACTTAGATGGTTGCGTCATTGTTGACGCAATGCTACTGGGCTCTTTGTTCAGATAATCTAAACTTCTAAAACTAAATGTTTGCCACTGATCAGTGCTGATTAAATACCTGACCTGCCTTACCTCGTTTTTTTGTTGTTATTAATCAATCACAGCTGATGTCTCGATGAAAGTTCCAAACTGAAGTTGACTGTCAAAAACATGTCCATGACTCCCTCTCATTACACCTCCTAAATTTTTATGCCTGGGGCAAACACTGCCCTGGGAATCAAAGTTGCTTCAGTGATGTGCTTTAGTCCCAAGAACGGCACCTGTTTTCTTAATTCACAGAATTATAGGTCTATGATTTAGGTGTTGCTTAATTAACTTCCATATGTATAGAATGTGAAATACTCACCTTTCATTGCCTTCACCTCCACAGTAGCAGCCTTCTCTTGCCTTTTGTCAGTATTTTGAGTGATGTCAGTCAACCAAGGACGATCATATGGGTCGCATTTCTACATATAAGAATGTGAAAATATCAATCATCCTTGATTATTCAGCAAACAGTTAATACATATCACATATAAATTCACAATTTGAATTATACTTGTACATGCATGTTTCCAGAAACATCTCTCCCAAACACAGCCCATCCAAGACAGTTTATGCTCTGAGACAGGAAAATAACTGAAAATAATGTAAAGTTACCAAATGTTTACTTTTTCTGTCACCACAATTAGTATGCTGTAATCTTATATATTTTCATGGGGGCCAATTTTCGCGGAAAGTTTATAAAAGACCTGTTAGCGCAGGTTTTTTTCGCGCATTTCATACGCATGAGTGATGGTATCCATCACAACGTTTTCACAACCGATAGACATGCAATGATCAAAGCTAGCTGCCATAATTGAATCGTGTTTACAAAAAGAATCAGGTGAGGTGAGGTGAGGTGAAATTGGGTTTAATGTCGTGCTGGAGAATATTTCGCTCATATGACGACATGCCTGTGTGTGTATGCGTCTGTGCGGCTGCTTGTACTAGCCCAGACTGAAGCTGGTTTTATAGTGCTAGCCCACTGAGATACCATGCTGCAGTGAAGCATGAATACCCCACTCAGACAGATTTTACTGACTCCGAGCCGACCAGTCCTTGTTGTACCCATTAATGCTGAGTGCCAGGCAGGGACCAACAAGTACCCTATTTTAACGTCATTTGGTATGACGCGGTCGGCGATCGAAACCCGCGACCTTCCGCTCTCCGGGTGGTCGCTCTAACCATTACACCACGGAGGCGGTTAAAATAATCAGAGAGAGAGGTGGGATTACATATATATAATAGTGTCAACATGACCACACCTGTCCCATATGCGAGATCAACTGACAACGAATTAAGGAAGAATTGTCCTACTGGTTACAAAACAAGTGTGGTGAAATGTCAAGATGGGGAAATGTCATCTGGGGAATTGTCCTGATGGGGAAATGTCCTACACTCAAAAACATCATAATCCCCTTTCTCGCCGACATGTGTTCATTTGCTAAATGCTGTATAAGCCTATGATAATGATTAGCAATTGCTATCAAAACACTTTAAATACTTCTTCTGATTGACACTAAAGGTAGCATCTCGTAAGAAAAGCTAGTATTTGCTCAGTACTACTAAATTGGTTGAAATAATAGGTATATTGCGATTAAATAAAGTAATGACACACATGTGCATCACTCGCTGAACAAGAGGTGCCTTCTATTGAATATAAGCGGCTCTCGCTGTGAGAAACTGCCAATTACCTACCCCATAAACGCATCTTTTGCTGTGAGGAGCTGATTAATTTGCCCCATATATGCGGCTCTCGGCCTTAATGAGTTAAAGGAGTTTTAACAAGCATTGTCACTAAGGTGACATAACCCCCCCACTACAAATTATCAAATCCAACTTATAAAGTAATGAAAGTTTAAGATGAAGTTAAATGTCAACAAAAACATGACCAGTCAATCTCTCTTGATATCTTGCTCTTTAGTTGTTCAAACACACACATTCAAGACTGACTTTGACCTTGACATGTATGTCATAGCGTATGAAATATGCAAAAATAGTACTAAAGAAATTGCTTATTGAAAAACATTCAAAGGAAGTCTTGAAAGTCTATGAAGAAACTCCAGTGAACTGTTCTTGAAATATCTAGCTGACAATTCAGGTTGACATGCTGAAACCTTCAAAGTGTCGTCGTGACCCTGAAAATTATGCCAAGGTCACAAAAATTGACTGGGCCCTGGGCCTTCCCTAGATATAGCTTGGTGTCAAATATGAAGAAAATCCAGTGAATATTTGTTGCGATATCTTGCTGACTATCTTAACATGCAATTTAACATGCTGAAATCTTCAAAGTGTCTCTGTGACCAGGACAATTAAGTGAAGGTCACCAAAATCGACTGGGCCCAGTGCCTTCCCTTGATGAAGCTTGGTGTCAAATATGAAGAAAATGTAGTGAATGGTTCTTGAAGTATCTTGCTGACAAGCATAACATGAAGGTTAATATGCTGAAATCTTCAAAGTGTCCCTGTGACCTTGAAAATTAAGTGAAGGTCACCAAATTTGACTGGGCTCTGCATCTTCCCGAGATAAAGCTTTGTATTGAATATGAAGAAAATCCAGTGAAGAGTTCTTGAGATAGCTTCACATGAAGGTGAAACGTTAAAGTCCCCTTGTGACCTTGAAATGACCTTTCTTATACTGTGATGAACCTAGGTACCAAAAGAATCAAGTGAACAGTTCTTAAGATATTCCGATTCGTATGTACGGACAGAGCCAAATACTATATCCCCCGCTTCGCACTAAACATTATAGTTGAGCAGATAACTGAAAATTTCAAGAGAATCGTTCACTTCCAGGAAACAAGCACCAAAACTGACTCACATACTCCTTGGGGATTACTCTTTTGATAAAACCTGTTAACCACCTAAAAATTCAAGATGGCTGCCATTGAATATAAAGAAATATTGCATTTCGCAATAAAATCGCAGAGACCTGTCATATTTGAAAGCTCTTGGTGTCAAATCATACATTTCTTAATATGTAGAATCCAAATTTTGAACCTTGGACTCATTCACTGGCTTCCTTGTACCATATATTAAACCAAAAATCCTAATATTTTGCAAAATAAAAGGTTCACATTACATCTGACTCTGCTAAAATGTATGGTAATTTATATCGCAGTTGTGTTTGAGGTTTTGTATGTGTAGCATCTTTCTGTGCAATGCTTTCAAACTGGATGTGACACAAAGAGGGTTAGTGCGTGGTGGGTGTAGGGCAGTGCTGGTGGGGTTGGACATTGAGAGACTTGCAGCGGAGGGGTAGAGTATTAGTCATCTTCCACTGAAAAGTGCATACTGTTTGTCCGATTTAATGTTTTCAAATAAAATGAAATAAAAACATTTTAACTATTTTTTCATTTATGATTGTTATTGTAAAAAACAACAACTGTAAAATCACAAAAAAATAAAATACAACATTTATTTGTGAAAGTAGCCATGATTTATTGTGGGTGCTAATGTCAGTTTGACGGAATTCATCCTCCATATTTCATTGACCTCTGACTTTGTATTATGAATCAAGTAATTAATTTTAACATTTTATTCTTGTTACCATTGCTATTTGTCTACATGGTATGTGATTAAAAAATATAAATAACAGGTTTATAACAAACGAAACATGCTTATGAGATATCACAATTAAATGTTAATTTGTATGCAAATATTTGAGTTATGTTCTGTCAAACATGTTGACGTTATCAACGACATGAATATATATAGTATAATATATACGTAAACAAAACCTTGATATATATTAATATTTAGATTGGTTTGTATTTAACATGTACTTTTATACCCTCGTATTTTTCATCATAAATAAGTTCTCTCTGTTGTCGTTTAAGAGTGGAAGTTGATGTAAGTTTAGCGATCGTCATTTCCGTCAAACAAATGTCAGCAATACGATGTCATACCAACATTCATGGGATTGTCAGAGGTCCTTTCCTTCCCGACGAAAACACTATTTGTCGCTAGATGTCACTCTTTATCGTCTGCAAACACGATGGCATCGGACGAGAACTGTGAAAATAGTCTCTGTCAAAAAATGTTACGTTCGCAACAACTGACAATACAACACGACTTTTTCAAAAGATCGATGTATCGTGATGTTCATTTATGAAATGTTTCTTGATATTGCTAAATGCTGGAAAATGGTGCATTCTGAACCGTCATGTCCACAATCGAAGTCGATTCTTCTTGAATTGAAATAAATGTGTTGCTAGCGTCATTTTAAAATGGAAACAAATTTGCGAACATCATTTTTCTGACATATCTTGATGCGAACGTTAGTAATACCTTGATGAGAATGTAAATAATTTGACAGATGCACCTGACGCGAATGTACATTTACAAATCCTTTAATCTTACCTGCATGGAAAATACTTAAACTTCATTGGTCAGTGACACTTAAACGAGTTTCCGTGTCCCCATCCAAGGAGGGTGACAACTGGAAAAAATATTACGAGCTGCCACGGTAACCTAATATTGCTATCGTGTAAGTATAATGCATGTTTTCTACGAACATATTTAACATAATAATTAGCTTTGCTAAGCACTTTGGGTTACCTGGCTGGATACATTTTACGTAGGACTGACTGACTGAGTTTGGTTTTATGCCGCTTTTAGCAATATTACAGCAACATCACGGTGGGGGACACCAGAAATGGGCTTCACACATTGTACCCATGTGGGGTTTTACGTAGCAGACAGTTTGACAAGTCACCACTGACTTTCCGCGGTACATGCCACTTTGATTGTAAAAACAAATTGTTGGCAATTAATTGTCAAATATGACTTCAATGAGTCATTAACGCGGGTCTTGGGGTTATGGATGACAAGGCTGTAATCTGTTCGTGATTACTGAGAAAAATGTGAAATTGGTGCTATCGCGGTAGGCGCGAAAAACGGACCCTCACGAATGTGGTAAGCAGACGTTGTATGGAATGAGGTAATGCCATTTCACTCATGGTTTCTACGTTGTTATTGTAAACAGTTTTAATGAATGAAAATGGGACTGAATTTAATCAAATAACATGTGTTTTCTGACAACATATATTCTCGGATGGCAGTGTTTACCCGCGCAATTACGCGGTGTGTTGCATCACAGCAAACGTTGTAAGTACTCGGCTGATGGCATGTCCTTATGATAAAGTTATTACGACGTTTTGCTGTTCAGCTATTATTATTGAAAAAAACTCTGCAGGTTTTTTAAGCATCTGAAAAACCATGGATATGTACAATCAACACTTTTAATCTGCAATCTGCACTGAATTTCACCAATTTACAACGTGATTAACAAGAGCTCAACAGCGGATTTGTTGATGTGCTATTTTCGATGACATGAATATGTGTGATCACTGGGCAACTTTTATATGGAGCCATGGATTACCCCGCGGTTTAACCGAATCCACGGTATCGCGAAGAGCATTATT